TCCACATTTCCTATGGAAATAGACTCATACATCCACACTTGGCCTTTTCTCATGGTTAATAACAGTGCTAAATGAAGTATTAAAATATCCAAGTCCCCTTTTTATAGACTATATTTCAGTATTTATATACTTTGAAATTTCAGTGTAGGTTTTATTAGTGTTTAGGCTATCCAGGGAGCAGAGTACCTTTGAACTTTACATAATGGAAATTTTTTTTTGTTGTTGGTCATGGGGGCTTGGGTGCTATCCCAGCGCTCTTCAGCTCAAGGCTTTACCACTTGAGCCACAGCACCACTTCCAGTTTTCTGAGTGGTTTATTGGAGGTAAGAAGACTCTCACGGACTTTTCTGCCCGGGATGGCTTTGAACTGTGATCCTCAGATCTCAGCCTCCTCAGTAGCTAGGATTATAGGCATGAGCCACCAGGACCCAGCTTATTTTATATGTGTGTGTGTGTATGTGTGTGTGTGTGTGTGTGTGTGTGTGTGTAAATAGACAGATAGATAGATAGATAGATAGACATTTCTCAATAAGAAAGGAAGTTAAATCATTCCTTGATCTTCAAGGGGTTTTGGTTCTATGACATTTTCCTCCCAGATATTCACGAACAAAAATCAAAGTTTGAAATTAATCATGCCTTCTCAACTAATAGCTGGACACAGGCATATGTGCTTGGCATCTGACTACATGTGACTACATGAGAGGCTGAGATTGAGAAGATCACAGTTTCAGCCTGGGCAGAAAATGTCTGCAAGATAACAGCAGAAGCTGGTGTGCGGTGCACACACTTGTTATTCTAGCTATGGGGAAAGTGGAAAAGGATGATGCTCCAGGTATGTGCCTGGACAGGCAAGAAGACCCTGTCTCAAAATAACCACTGCAGAAGAGGGCTGGAGGTATTGCTCAGCCTATTCTGCCTGTCTTGGACACTTCCTAGAAGTCCACTTAGCTGTATAAAGAGTCTTCTTCTTTTAACTTTCTCATCATGTAATTACATGTGAAGCAATAAGAGTTGATCTTTCTATATGTTTGTTAATATCTTGAATGTGATCAAAATTATTGCTTTATCTTTATTTCTTTCTAGTTGGACAAATTATGTTGCTAAAGTTTTTGTTATTTGTGAAGTTTTGGAAGATGCTATTTGGGGGTGAATATGTTTCTTTTTAGTTGTAAGTATTAACAGAGGTTTAAGGTTAAAATGTGATCGTGTACTCTAAGTTTATAAACCATTAGTGTTTGTGAGATTTTATATCAAATTAGTTTAGAAAATAAATGTAATTAACAAAGTAAATTCTCTCAGGTAAAAACTTCATGGCTGTGGGCAAGACACAGTGGCAGAAAGAGCTTGCCTAGCATGTACAAGGCTTCAGATTTGATCTTTTTTGTTGTTGTTGGTCATAGGGCTTGAACTCTGAGCCTGAGCGCTGTCCCTCAGCTCTTTAGCTCAAGGCTAGCACTCTACCACTTGAGCCATAGCACCACTTCCGGCTTTTTTCTTTTTGCTTATGTGGTGCTGTGGAATGGAACCCAGGGCCTCAGGCATGCAAGGCAAGCGCTCTATCACTTGAGCCACAGCACCACTTCCAGTTTTCTGATGGTTAATTGGAGATAAAAGTCTCTTGGACTTTCCTGCCCAGGCTGGCTTTGAACTGTGATCCTCAAATCGCAGCCTCCTCAGTAGCTAGATTACAGGTGTTAGCCGCTGTCGCTCGGCTTCAGATTAAATCTTTAGCACAAAACAGTAAATAAAAATTTTAAACTGCTTGTGACTATCAACCAGCTAGATAAATCGGATGCTAAAAGGACAATTACAAAAAAGATGATAGATTCCAAGTAAAACTGAAAGCATACTTCCAGTCAGAATCCCCAGTCGTATCTTAACTTTTATTTTTTCAGTGAGGGTTGAATTCAAATCTTGGTACTTGCTAGGCAGGTGCACTTCTGCTGAGCCATACCTCCAGCCCTCTTCTGCAGTGGTTATTTTGAGACAGGGTCTTCTTGCCTGTCCAGGCACATACCTGGAGCATCATCCTTTTCCACTTTCCCCATAGCTAGAATAACAAGTGTGTGCACCGCACACCAGCTTCTGCTGTTATCTTGCAGACATTTTCTGCCCAGGCTGAAACTGTGATCTTCTCAATCTCAGCCTCTCATGTAGTCACAGGTAGTCAGATGCCAAGCATATATGCCTGTGTCTACCTCAATATTCTTTTTTTTGGGGGGGGGGCTGAGCACTGTCTCTCAGCTCTTCAGCTCAAGGCTAACGCTCTACCACTTGAGCCACAGCGCCACTTCCAGCTTTTTTCTTTTTGCTTATGTGGTGCTGAGGAATCGAACCCAGGGCTTCAAGCATGCAAGGCAAGCGCTCTACCACTGAGCCACTTTCCCAGCCCCAACCTCAATATTCTTTAAACATTAAAATTTCCAGTTCCAGTGGCTGGGAATGTAGCTTAGTGGTAGAGTGCTTGCCTAGCATGCATGAAGCCCTAGGTTCGATTCCTTATTACCACATAGACAGAAAAAGCCAGAAGTGGGGGTGTAGCTCAAGTGGTAGAGTGCTAACTTTGAGCAAAAAAAGCTCAGGGACAGTGACCAGGCCCTGAGTTCAAGTCCCAGGACTGGCAAAGAAAAAAAAGAAAAAGAAATCTCCAGTTCCAATTCCTGGTCCTGTCATTAATTTTTTTTACCTAATGAATAAATTTATAATTTAATTTTTTGCATATTTAAGTGTAGATATATATAGATGCACATATACTGTATTATTTATAAACTAGATATTTGTTTATGTACTATTTATAAACTGGATATCTGTATATATGGTATCTGTATATGTAATTTACTAATGTTTATTATTAAATATAAACATTGAAATATATGTACTTATGCATATACACATATAGTATTAAATATATAGTATAAATATAATAGATATACAGTATTGTTAACTATGTAATATAGAACATAAGTGTTGCAACATGAATTGCTACAACATGAATCATGAGTCAAGAATTGCTTGCGTGTTCCATGAGTAATTTAAGATATAAAATGTTGCTGGGCTAAAGGTATAGGTCAGTAGCAGAATACTTGTTTAGCATGTGTGAGGCTCTGAGTTTGTGTGTGTGTGTAAAATCCTCCTTAATTATTACAGGGGTTATAATTAAAGAGAGACTCTTGGATATTTTGGAGAATAAAACCATATTAATTGTCTTTAGTAAACAACAAACAGTATTCTCCCTCCTTCCTTCCTTGATTTATTTTAAAAGTAGTCCTCTATGTAGTTTTCATCAAGTAAGGTATTTTATGACTTTTATTCATCTACATTCACTAATTTGTTAAACATGTAAATGAATACATGTAAATATTTAAAATGTTTATATTTTAATAAGTATAAATTGACATTTTAAAATTATTAATAAAAATTGGAACTTCATTATATAGATAAGGAGATAGTTACAGTTTAATTTTAAATTGATCCTAATGCCTTTCCTTGTGCCCTTTTCACAAATAACATGCTAAGCCTCATAGTGGATCATAGATGCGTTAGTTACCAGTTTATTGACTGTCTACATGCACTTTGGAACTCTAGTTCTGAATAGCTACACTAGTTCTCTTTAGTAATGTTTTTTATTAAGGGGAAGAGAGGTACGTTCTGAACAAAAGAAAAAGAGGTTTGTTGGATTAATAGCTATGACCTGTCTTTTCATCCTTTAAGTTATTGCTTCCTTTGTTGGACAGCAGAGGAAATAGCACAAATTATATTTGTGTTTCTTACCTGCCAACTAGTAGCTAATAGGAAAACTTCATTTCCTCTAGGAAGCTTTGTCAGTGTTCTCAAGACTGGGCTTTTCTCCTCCCTTCCTCATCTTACTGCTCTGTTTCTTATTAACCTCTCTAACTACTTAATCTCAAAAACATGATGTGAAGCAAACCCATCTAAAGCTAAGTAATATGTTATCTAGGGCTGTGTACACACTTTGGTAAAGTTACAAAGACAAGGCAGGAAGTGCTGAGCAGCATGCATCAGAGGCAAGGAAGGTGATGGTTAAGTTGAGGTCCCCCGCAGCGTGGAGATGCAGTGGTAATAGCACTTGGTCTTACACAGGGTAGTGCTAAGTAAGTAGTCCTTGTGTCATTCTTTTCACAGGCAAATACAGTATGATTACTGGATTTTCATGTGAGTTGTTAATAGCACCTTTTTTTCTGGTGGTACTGGTGCTTGAACTCAGGGCCTTGCGCTTAATCAACTAATTCACTTTAGCTGGCACTCTAACCCCTGAGCCACACTTGCCAGCTCTGTTAATAGTAGTTTTTAAAGAGCTCAGAATGTCATGGTTTTAAATTATTAGTGTAGATTAATTATGCAAAAAGATTTCATTTTGATACATACATATAATGTCCTTTGAATTAAATGTAACCTATCTGTATTACTTTCTTAATTTCATGTCTCTACATATAATTTTATTGATTCGTCTGTCCTGGGGCTTGAACTCAGGTCCTGGGTGCTGTACCTGAGTCTCTCTGTTCTCAGGAATAGCACTCTACCACTTGAACCACAGCTCCACTTCCAGCTTTTTCTGAGTAGTTTATTGGAGATAATGTCATGACTTTTCTGCCCCGACTGGCTTCAGATCTCAGCCTCCTGAGTAGCTAGGATTACAGATGTGAGATACCAGCACCTGGCTCATAATTTTGTTTTAAAGTGCTAATATGATGCATATTTTTCTACTATGGTTGCTTATAATAGACTATATTACATAAGATTATTGTGCTTTATTTACATCAGTTTTAAAAATGAAAGTACAGTTCTCTAGCCAGTCTCTTGAAGTCATGTCCTCATTTGGAATCCGCACTGTGACAGTTAAGCCTTCTGCTGTTTTCTGCAGCAACTGACCTGCCAGCAATCTGTGGAGTTAGCTGTGTGATTATGTGCAGCTCAGGGTTACTTTAGGTTATTCTTGGAAAAGAGGACTTGAAGCAAAGCATCTTGTATTCCTTTTGCAGAAATGTTGCTGAAGTGCTGCTGAAAGGGCCAGAGATGCAAGGATTTGGGACACATTTTGAACCTTTAAGCTGTCTGACATTGACCTCCTTTCATTATTAATAAAGAAGAAGCAGGAGCTTAGGATGTATTAACACCACCTCATTAATATACTAACCGGACAGTGTTCTGCAAACAATTCTGCATTGTAAAGAACTGGAGTGACCCAAAATAAAATTAATATTTTACTCACCTTATAATATGACTCCATGGAGGAAAATTTGATAAGCATGAGGGAAGACCATTCTTTTCATGTTCGTTACAGGTAAGACTATTGCTTTCCTAGTGATGACTTTCAATCCTCATTTATACGTGAATTTGAACAACGTTCAAAATATTCTAGGTACAGTTAGTACCTTCTGTAAGCCAAGTTTTCTTTCTGTTGTAGTTGTTTTTGTAGGAAAGCAGTAGAGAACAATTATGTACTATGGTTTATTAATGTTTTCTGAAAGTTATTGAATAGTTACTTTATATATTTGGTAGCTTTTTATACAATGAAAGTATAAAATGAAATATATTTCAGATCCTTGAGAGTAGAAGATGGATTTTTGTTGTTGAAAGATCTGATTGCTATGTTATAGTTTTAAATGTTAATCTTTTATAAAAATGCTTTTTAAATAGATGGTATTAAATAAAATCGGAATTGAATGGATAGGTACTTTCTAAAAATGACAAATTGATAACCATTTTTAGTAATAAAATGTTAATGACATTGTATGTAATAGGAACAAAGCAAGTATATCTGCATTGTCATTATTTAACATTTATTCTGGACATTCTGGTCATTGTACTAAACCAGAAAATAAAAGCTGTAGAAAAATAATTAAATAATAATGGCCTCTTTATCAAGGCTATTATAAATTAATAAAACATCAGAATTTAGAGCAATAAATTGAATTAAGATGGAAGTGGTGCTATGGCTCAAGTGGTAGAGCACTCGCCTTGAGCTGAAGAGCTGAGGGACAGCGCCCAGGCCCAGAGTTCAAGCCCCATGACCGACAAAAAAAAAAAAATTGAATTAAGAAATCTCTACAGGTGTTCACTACCAAATCTTTGATGTCTTAATGTAAGGAATTACTCATTTTAGTATAATTCCATCTTGATTTCATATACACACACACTGTGTGTGTGTGTAAATATATAATTTTTAGAAACAGTGTTGTAATATTGCAAGGCTCTTCTCAACTCTTGAACTCAAATGATCCTACTACCTCTGCCTCCTAAATGCTTTTTGTTTTTCTTTTTTATAAAAGACACCTTCTAGAGATCTATACTAGGTGTTTTATAAAGGAAATCTTCCTGGAATGTGCTTCAAATGATCTGTGCTTAAAGGAGAGAGAAAACATACATATAGGATCATATGTATTGCTAGTCGCTGGGGCTGAAAGATGGATACATTGTGATCTTTATACTAATTTCTCTGGTTTTTATTTCTTTAGGATCTGTCCTTGCTCATTCTTGTTACTATGATTACTAGAATTTCAGTATTCTAATATAAAAATGAGACTTTCAGTTCAGTTGAAAAGAGATAAAATTCTACTGTTAAGTCCTTTAGTTTTGCTAGATGGTCACTGTTAATATTCTTTCTTGAAGAATAGTTCCAGTAATAATGGAGTGGTAGAGTACTGGATTTAGAGATAATTAATTCCTTTCCTTTAGAATCCCCTATTCTGAGCATTGATTTCCCCTTCTGTAATACTTGTCTCAAACGAGTTATTTTGAGAATTAAATTCAGTGCATGTTAAAATCACTTTTGAAACTAAGCTACTATATAAAATTTAAATCTAGATCATCTTTGTGCTACAAAATAAACTAAAACACATCATTTGGTAAGTTGGATTGGATGAGAGTTGATTGGAGGTAGGCCTAGTGACAGAAGTTCTTCACACACTGCAGAAGGTGGAGCGAGGGTTTATTATGAAAGGAGCTTCCACAATGGAGAGGGAAGATGAGGTGAAGCTGTCACTTATTTTGAAACAGTGAGTAAACCTTTTTTGAGAAGGCAGATTTGGACACAATTAGTATTATTAGATTTTTATTTATTATTATTATTTTGTCAGTCATGGGGCTGAACTCTGGGTCTGGGCACTGTCCCTCAGCTCTTCAGCTCAAGGCTAGTGCTCTACCACTTGAACCACAGTGCCACTTCTGGCTTTTTTCTGCTTATGTGAATCGAACCCAGGGCCTCATGCATGCAAGGCAAGCACTCTACCACTAAGCCAACTTCCCAGTTCCCGTATTACTAGATCCTTAAAAATATTTATCCCAGGCTAGGAATGTGGTTTAGTGGTGGAGTGCTTGCCTACCATGTACAAAGCCCTGGGTTCTATTCCTCAGTACCACATAAACAGAAAAAGCCAGAAATGGCACTGTGGCTCACGTGGTAGAGGGCTAGCCTTGAGCAAAAAGAAGTTCAGGGGATGTACCCAGACCCTAAGTTCAAGCCCCAGGCTTGGCAAAGATAGATAGATAGATAGATAGACAGTCACTAAGGTTTTACCTGTTTTCACTGATGCACTGTGAACACAAGGAACTAAAGTTAAAGAGCTAAAGAAAACACTAAGGGGCTGTGATGTGAAGGTGGCTCAGTGGTAGAGTGCTTGCCTTGCACTCATGAGGCCCTGGGTTCGATTCCTCAGCACCACATAAGCAGAAAAGGCCAGAAGTGGCACTTGGCTCAAGTGGTAGAGTGTTAGCCTTGAGCTGACGAGCTGAGGGACAGCACCCATGACCAGAGTTCACGCCCCACAACCGACAAAAAAAAAAAAAAACAAAACACTAAGGTTAAAATCTAGTGGGAAAAATAGTGAAAAGAATGTTTTTGAGAAGCTAAAATAATGGATTAATGCAGAGAAAGAGAAATTATACCTAAAATGTTTGATCTGTTAAGAGCAAAACATGAAGACATTTTGCTGGGCATTGATGACTCTTGCCTGCTACTAAGAAGACTGATATCTAAGGGTTGTAGTTCAAAACTAGCCATGGAATAAAAGTCTATGAGACTCTTACCTCCAGTTAACCATTCCAAAAGTATAGTGCTAGCCTTGAGCAAAAAAGCTAAGGGATAGTGCCTAGGCCCTGAGTTCAAGCCCCAGGACCCACCTCAAACAAACAAAAATATTTTAGTCAAGGATAGTAATGTTTATCATTATTAAAAATACAATTTACTTGGTTATACAGCTAGGTAAGCCACTAGGAAAGATAGAAGAAACTTTGAGGGTGTTTTCTACATCTGGGTATGTTCTTTGTTTTTATCCCTACTCATAAACAAATGAAGTAATTTTATTCTCTCATAGCATCAGAAAAGATATGAAATTGCTTTCTCTGTTACTATTTAATGATCTTCTAAATAATTAGTAAACGAACTTGCCCTGTTTTGCAAGTACATGTATTTGACTGAGATGCTGGGAATTTTGCCAGAGTTTTGACTTTTTTTCTAATAAAAACCATAAGATAGCTCAGAATTAACAGTAACCTAAAGACTTTTGGGCTTTATTGCAATCAGTTACCATAAGAATTTTTCTATAGTAGTTTCTCTTAGAAACAATTTTTGTATAGTAGTTTTTCTTTCATGGTCATGGAGGACCATGTTTAGCCAGCAGGATTCTTGGTTTGCTATCAGATTCTAGTGACAATTATATAAAATGTCTTTTTGCATAAGGGTGCCAGTGTTTTATGCCTATAATCCTAGTTACTCAGGAGGCTGAGATCAAGAGGATCACAGTTTAAGGCCAGTCCAGACATACATTATGAAATCCCTCCTCAGCCAAGTGCTGGGTAGAGTGGTGCACATGCCCTTCTTCATCCCACATGTATGGGAGGCTGAGATCAGGAGGATTCCAGTTCCCAGACAGCCCAGTCAAAAACAAATCTCAATGGAAGAATCCAGGTTTTTGTAATGGCACAAGTCTGTATAAGCTGTTAGGAAGCATAAGGTAGTGAGTAGATTGTGATTCCAGTGTGGGCCTGTCCTAAAAATGAGACCCTGCCTCTAAGCCATGCAAGAAAGGGCTTGGAGGTGTGGCTCAGCAGTAGACCTCCTGCTTGGGAAGCACAGGGCCCTGCATTCAAACTCCAGCACTACCAAAACCAAACCAAACAAAGCACCTCTTATCACAACCTTCAGCCTGTGCCTACATTGTGTTAGATAGAAAATTTCAGTGTAACATTACATAAAAAAGTTTAATCCTGGAAGGTCAAACATTTGTGCTGATATTTGAATGGCTTTCTTCAAACAAGTAGATGTTATACATTTCTAATTTATAAATGTCTTGTATATGGATAGCCAGGTCTGCTCTGTTCCTCACCCCCTGCCAGTAACCAGGCACCCTCAAGTTTTGGTGCTATTGCTGAGCCCGTATAAATCTTTTCCCCCAGTGCCATGTCTGGTGGCATGTAATTGTTGGGGTTTTGTTACTGTTGTTGGATTAGTTTGGCTTGGTTTTGGTGGTGCTAGCAATTAAGCTTGGCATTACTCTAGTTAATCAGGCACTCTACTACTCTCCTGTTCCCAGGGTACAATTTTTATTTATTTGTTTATCCTTATTTATTTTTGTGCCAGTATAGGTGCTTGACCTCAGGGTCTGGGCACCCTCCTTTTGCTTTAGCTTTTTTTTTTCCTCAAAGTTGGCATTCTACCACTTGAGTCACAGCTCCCTTTCTGGCCTTTTGCTGATCAAAGAGACTTACAGTTTTGTTTTGTTTTTTGCCTGGGCTGGCTTCAAATCATGATTCTCAGATCTCAGCCTCCTGAGTAGCCAGGATTATATGTATGAACCACTCTGTATCTGTTCTAAACAACAAAAACTGCACCTGTTGGGGCTGGGAAGGTGGCTCAGTGGTAGAGCGCTTGCCTTGCATGCATGAGGCCCTGGGTTCACTTCCTCAGTACCACATAAGCAAAAAGAAAAAAAGCTGGAAGTGGCGCTGTGGCTCAAGTGGTAGAGCACTAGCCTTGAGCTGAAGAGCTGAGGGACAGCGCCCAGGCCCAGAGTTCAGGCCCCACGACCGGACCCCAAAAAAAAAAAAATTATAGCTAGCCAAACTGCCGTGCGGGCATGGGACTGAACAGTGATAGTGTTAAAAAGTGTTCCTTATACATTCTGCTCTTGTGCAGCCAGGATTAAGAACCACTGCCCCATTACAGAGGTCCAAAGCTGATTCTAGAATGTAAGAGTAATTGAGTGCTAGTCCAGAAATTAAAGTTTGCTCATAAGCTGGGCGCTGGTTGGCTCATGCCTGTCTATAATCTACTAGCTTCTCAGGAGGCTGAGATCTGAGGATTGTGGTTTGAAGTCACCCCAGGCAGGAAAGCCGATGAGACTCTTATCTCCAATAAACCACTCAGAAAAAGCTGGAAGTGGTGCTGTGGCTCAAGTGGTAGCCTTGAGCTGAAGAGCTAAGGGACAGCGCCCAGGCTCAGAGTTCAAGCCCAAGACCGGACCCCCCCCCCAAAAAAAAGAAAAAAGCTTGCTCAGTTTAATCAGTTTTTAAAGGTTGATATGTATGCTACTGGTGGTGCACAAGTAGTTTTTGCTGTTAAACTTTAATAGTTACATTTAATTAGAAAATATTGTATATTTTTTATTATGGCACATACACTTGACAGTACTTGAATACTGGTTGGGATGAAGGTAGTTTTATAAATGGTTAAAGTCAGTGTAGTGTGCCACTGGGTAGCTGACATCTGTGATCCTAGCTACTCAGGAGGCTAAGACCTGGAAGTATGCAGTTCAAAGCCAGCCCGGCAGAAAGGCCTGCAAGACTTAACTCCAATTAACTAGTAAAGTGCTGGACTAAAGGTGTGGCTCAACTGGTAGAGCACCAGCAGTGGGTGAAAAAACTGAATGAGAGGTTGGGGCCCTGAGTTAAAGCCCCAGTTACTGTCGCAAAAACAAAAACAGAAAACAAAAGATGGCATGCCAATTTAAAGATTAGCCAAATCATAAAGATACACTAAGCCAAGTGTCAGTGGTTCACGCCTCTTCTCAAGCTACTCAGATCTGAGCCTCGCAGTTCAGAGCCAGCCCAGGCAGGAATGTCTATGAGACTTTTATCTCCAATAACCCACTCAGAAAAAGCCAGAAGTGATGCTGTGGCTCAAGTGTTAGAGCGCCAGTCTTAAACAGAAGAAGCTCAGAGTTCAGCTCCCAAGACTGGCAAATAACAAGCAAAAAAACATTAAGCAAGTCAGGCACCAGTGGCTTACACTTGTAATCTACTCACCAAGCAGGAAAGTCTGTGAGACGCTTATCTCCAATTAACCACCAAAAAAGCCAGAAGTAGAGCTGTGACTCAAGTGGTAGAAAGTTATCCTTGAGCAAAAAAAGCTCAGAGACAGCACCCAGGCCCTGTGTTCAAGCCCAGGTCCGTCACACACAAACAAAAATTAAACAAATAGGTAGTACATAGACATGGTAGAGCCGTGCAGAGACTGAAGAAACACAGAGTGCCTTGGTGAGAGGCACCTTTCAAAGTTTAGGATTAGAACTGAAGTATCAGTTCAGTGGTTTTACATTGACTTTTTTTTGTTTTTCAATTCAAGATAGATTTTGAGAATTAGAATTTCCAGAATCTTTTTTTCCCCCCAATCCTGGGGCTTGTACTCAGCCTGGGCACTGTCTCTGAGCTTCTTTTGCTCAAGACTAGCACTCTACCACTTGAGCCACAGAGCTACTTCTGGTTTTTTCTGTCTGGTATTTGGAGATAAAAGTCTCACAGATTTTTCTGTTCAGTCTGGCTTCAAACTGTGATCCTCAGGGCTGGGAAGTTGGCTCAGTGGTAGAGCGCTTGCCTTGCATGCCTGAGGCCCTGGGTTCGATTCCTCAGCACCACATAAGCAAAAAGAAAAAAGCCGGA